AACAACAACATATATATATATATATATATATATGTCATATTTGGCATTCCCCTTGAAGTGATTTCATATACATTATTATTGGTGTTACTATGTGTTGTCAAGTCAAAATTCACAGCTGACCCTCCAGCGAGTTTTCAGAAACAATAAATTGCATGGGAGGGGACTGTTATTTTCTTGTAGAACTGGAAACTGCACCCATCAGTGCAGCTCCTCACCTTTAGGCCACCAGAGCTCCTCTGTAGTAGCTTGTTGTCGTTAGGTGCAGTGGACTCTGCAAGCCCTCACAATAATTCCTCAAAGAATTAATTCTTCATAGATGGTAAAATGGAAGTCAGATTGATTTTCCTAAAATTATACAACTGGTAAATAGTATAGTGAGCACTATAAATCTGGTTTTCTAGTTCCCAGAAATCCACTAGATTTCTCTAACAGGAATTTGGTCAATATTAAAATGTCATTCCTCCAGCCTATAGCACTGTGCTCCTTTATCAGCACCATGTCAACCTCCGAACACACCGCTTTAAGCAGCTCCTGTATCTTAATATCCAAACACTTTTGACACTGTAGATTGCCATTGTTGAACTCTAGAAAGCAAACTAGTTTTAAAAAAACCTTTTATATCTTACTTCTTGAATTAGCCTTTTATTGTTAGGTCATGCAAATACCACAGATTTTGTTAGTTACAAAGTCATGTTAACTAATGCGGATTCTTTATTTTTCTCATTTATAAAACATAACGTTTTAGTTCTTCAACTTGCTATGCATTAGAGAGCTGGAATGGCTAGGGATGATAGGAGAATAGGTGCCTTTGAGCTGTGGTGTTGGAGAAGAGGACTGAATATACCATGGACTGCTAGGAAAACAAACAGGTTCGTCCTGGAGAGGGTAAAGCGGGGCTGCTCCTTGGGGTCAAGGATTCTGAAGCTTCATCTGACATACTCTGGACACATTGCAAGGAGGGACCAGGCCTTGGAGAGGGACATCATGTTTTGGAAAGTGAGATTGGCACAGGATAGGGCAATGTTTAGGGCTGATGTACATAGGGTCGCTATGAGTCAAAAGCAACTCGACAGCACATAACAACAATATATATATATACATTTAAAAATGGTGACAATGTTGCTTTATTTTTGCTTGAGAAGTGGTTCTTAAATATTTTCCAATGAAATGCTACTGGTTTTAACACACGATGGATGGAGAAGAGACTGAGGTTAACAATTGCTCGACTCCATAATCAACACTCTTGGCACCAGCAGTAAGGAAATCAAGATAAATTGTATTGAGAAAATCTGCTGGCAGGGACCTCTCCAGAGTACTTCAGGCCATAGTCTCCACAATTCCTTGTTATGCTTCAGAGAGCTGGACAATGACTGAGGATGGCAGAAAAATCAATGCCTTTGAGTGGTGGTACTGGAGTCTTGAACATATCATGGACTGCCAGGAAAATGAGTCCGTCTTGGAAAGGGTGAAACCAAGTTTCTTCTTGGAGGCTAGGATTTTGAAGCTCCATCTCACATACTTTGGGCATGTGGCCAGGAGGGACTAGTCCATGGAGGACATAATGCTTTGAAGAGGGGAAGGCCAATGCAGGAGAGGAAGACCCTGGATGAGATGGACTGATATAGTAATTGGGGCAATGGGGGTAGGTGTGTCAACTGGCCCAGGATAGGGCAAGCATCAGAGCTGTTGTACATAGGATGGTTATGAACTGCAGGTGACTCAATGCACATAGCAACAACAATCCTGACTTACAGCAAATCCTTATGCTCATTTAGTCTATTAGTGCTACATGTTCGTCCATATTTTAAATACATTCACGTGACCCTTTTAGATATCTTTGCCTCAAAATGCAATTAGTATTTGTATCATCATACATAAATGATGCTCTTTGAACATTTAATTTCACCAATAAGACGATTAGGGTAAAACTCCAATTTCACAAAAAATCTGAGGTTTTATTATCCTTCCAGTCACCAGATGCTTCCTCCATGGGAGAAAGATGGGAATTCTCCTCCCATGTGTTAATTGCCTCTGAAAACTGGCTTAGAGGGTCAGCTATGGGTTGATTTTACAGTACGTAACATTTCTAATTCTCCTCACTTGTAATTTTCTATTAATTTAAATATTGGTCTAGTGGATAGAAAGTGATGCTACCAAGCCAAAGGTGGGTGATTTTAATCTGTGGCCCTCAGGCCCGGTTTTAATTGGTTTTGGTCAAACATTCTTCTAAGTTGTACAGCACTGGTCTGTACATTTGCTTTATAGAATAACTGGTTGCTGTGGTGCTGAACACTGTGACACTGATATGTCAAATGCAATAATGGTTATCCATGGTGGACAGTGTTTAGTGGAGCTCCCTGATTAAAACAAGCTTAGAAGCAGGAGTGGCATCCACTTCCAAAAGAGCTTGCCTCTGGTAACTCTATGAACTTGGAGAAACGATGAAAGGTATAGAAGTGTTCAGGTCATTAGTTAATTATGTTTTTAAAACAACCCTTGCTTGGGTCTTATCTAATGTTTTTTTCTCCCATTAACTTTAGTTCTTTCACAATTTCTCATTGTTCCTGTTTATAAGTAATCTGATAGTGAAAAGCTTTAGTTTTATAATTTTATGTATCATTTTAGAACTGTTTTCATCTTGCTTACTATTCTAGGTCTACTTTAGGCATTCCCATTGTTCTCATCAACTTAAGTCTTAGTATCTACCCAATAATATCACTTTCCCATACTCAATCTATAAATATTTATAACAATTCCTTTTTTGAGGTCAGCTATAAATTACCTAGATCTTCTGTATACAGAAAAACAAGACCGTTCAGATCACACTTTAATTTGTATTTTTAGAACATTCTTAGATTCAAAGATGCATTATTAGAGCATTACTGTTAAAATTCAGCAAAATCCTGCTTCAATAAAATCATTAGCTCATGTGTGTATTTAAAATTAATCTTCACATAACTCTAATGCATAATGAGTTAAGCAATACTAGACTCTAATTTTCACTAGCACCTTTTCCTACTGAATTTCCACTCTTGAAAAAGTGAAAGTCAGCACAAAAATCAAGGGCTTTGGGAAATCATGGAAGCCTAGGCAAACACAGAGCAACTAATGCAATCTTCACTTCCTCTCTGAAAAGGTGTACAGTAATATCTACCTCACAGAGCAGGTGAGCTGTAATGAGAAAGCAAAATATTAAGGGTCTAGCACAGAATAAATGCAGATCCCAAGTGTCATTGTAAATTGGCTCCCTAGGTTATTAAGCGCCGCCTGGAGAATGGGGTCTCTGGGTGGTGCAAATGGTTGTCTAGGTACTAACCAGAAGGTTGAAGGGTCACTTTTACCCAGAGAAGCTCTGGAAGAAAGGCTTGGCAATTCTCCAAAATATAAGCCACTGAAACACCAGATGCAGCCGAGTTCCATTCTAACACAGGGCCAACCAGAGGTCAAAACTGAATGGACAGTGACCCCTTTCAGTGCCTGAGGAATGGAAACAAGACAAAAAAAAAAAAAAAAA